TACAAACAGCATTGTATGCAATCCTTAGTGTAATTTTCAGAGAAGCGCATCCACAACATTTAGCTTTTTCTGTTTGTTTTCTACAGATTATTTGATCATGCACTGGTTCTGAGATATTACTGACATCAATTTAACTCCGTTTTTGTTTCCTCTTTGATGTCTCTCAGAGCTGGTGATTCCTGACAACGCAAACGTTTTTTACGCCATGAACACCTCAGCCAACTTTGACTTCCTGCTGCGCGCCCGAGGCTCGGCCGGTCGGCCGGTGCAGCTGCGGAGTCGCTGCAGTTCCACTCTTCCCCGGGCTCAGGCTCGCTCCAGCCTCTCGCTCAGACTCAGCAAAGTAACGCTGTGACTCCCTCATACTCTTGCCTACAGCGAAGACAGTGATTATGAGTGGATTCAATAAGACATAAAAAGAGCTATGAGATGTTTAACGTGGACCAGATGCAGTGAGCTCTTAGACTCTTGTTTTACTCGTACCATTTGGGTCACTTTACTGTGCCATCATCACCCTCCCAGCCTTAATGTGCAACAGTGACCCCAAGTTGCCTCCAATCTTTACAGGTTTTTTTGCACAAGTGGGAGAACCAAGCTCCCAGACCTCCAACAGTATTGAAAACGACTAGTCTGCATAGATTAAGCTTTAATTTGTTGTTTTAAACAGGAATGAAACAGAAGATATTTGTTGTTTTGTTCTGTTAATAATGTCTAACAGTATTCTAAACCATATTAACTGACTGAAAGAAACTGTGACGTCAGTACTTTAACCCATTCGGGCATCTTGAACAGTCCTAGTCGGGCTTGTGCACAATGTGCACAGTGTACGTGTATACATATTTGTGTATATGTGTGTGTTCCCCCCCTCCCGCCATATTGCGAGCTGTGTGACGAATGCAGGTGCATTCTGATAAGTTCCTATACTTGGTTTTATCAAGTCCTTGGCAAATACTGAAAAGGCCTTACCTGCCCTGTCTTCAGGGTGAAGAGGTGCAATTAGTGCTGCTTTCTGAAGCTGTTTTTTCTGCTTGCATTGAAATAAATTCTACGTGCAAGAACGGAAAATGAATTTGGCATTCTACTGCTATAGAAAGCAGATAAATATCTGACTGATGCATACTTGTACCGTATGCTAGTCGACAGACGCCAGTGTTATGTGAATCTGAAGGATGAATGAACCGCTTAGTAGGTGGTTTTACTCCCTCTTTACTAAACGAGATCATGTTTTTTGTTTATAACTGTTGCTTTTTTTTTTTAAATGTTTTTTTGTATTTCTTTTGTGGGCTTATTTCATTCCAGAAATGCTTTCACTAATGTGAAAGTGACAGGAAATCTTAAACATAAGAACTCAAACAGTCATAAAAGAAAACCATCTGTGCCAGATTTAACTTTGACAAATTCCAAAGGACGCTTTATTTCATTATCCATCTGTCTCATGTAAACCCTTCTCCTCTGTAAGCCAGGTGGGTGTCTCCTCACACTAAATCACATCAGCATTAGCGGGTTCCTACAGGGTTATGGTCATAGCATGATGCTACCAGTCTGACCACTGATCCCAGTCTGTGTTAACATGTTAGCGAGGCTTCTTAATGCAGCCCTTCACTTTGAAATGTTTTTCTAAAATCCATGTCCATTTCCTGTTCTCCACTGCCAAAGACTCTTACTCTACTTAGATGAATAAATTATTGCCATTATCATCAAACTTGTCTGTTTTTTGTTTTTTTTGATGCTGTATCTTGAGCTCATCTCTCCAAGTAGCGTACAGTACGTCCACGTTCCCATGATGCAGAATGTTCTTTCTCCTGTTTTAGAATAATAATACACTGCTCTGGACAAAGCAACAACTGTTTATATGAGAGGACATTTCTACCATATGAATACATCACCTATGACCATGAAATTGGGTTTGCTCAGATGAATTAAATGTTGTAGAGCCTTTTACTTAAAGGTAAACACCACAGGGTTGAAGTAAAAAACCAACAGAACTGGAACAGCACTGTATTGATAGATCGCTCATAAAATTGGGTTTCATCTTAGTCTTTCTTTTAAAGTTATCATCCTGTGTTGCATTTTATTACTTAGACGGCAAACATAAAAGTCACTGTGCTCATTTGTTAGCACATTTCGATTTAGTCTTAATCCCAGCTGTAGTACTTTAAGCTATGGTCTATTATTAGTCAACCAAGTCTTAACATTTTTACTGTAAATATATTGAGCTAAAGCATTAGCATATATCAATAGAAGTTGATCTTGATGTTTCATGCTAAATATTTCTTATTGATTTTTTTTAGATACGTGTGTTATTTTTCTTATTTTAGAAAGTGTAATAAAATTATAGTTAGTTTTCAGAAGAATAAACTCATTATAGTATCAGCATTATTAAATCTAATAACTTTAATCTATTGTAAAATCATGTATGTTTAATTATTTTTCATAAATAGTTAATATGCCCTAAATAAACATTCCTCTGACAAAATTTTCCTTAACTTTAAATTAAATCAGGTCTAAAATGTAGTAGGGTTTAACAGACTGAAACGAGCTAAATTGACTAAAATCCCACTAAGGTTAAATTAAAATGTGCTTCGAAAATTAACACTGAAACCCAACAAGTGGTTGTTCAGAAATACAGAATTGTATGTTTGGAGCATTTTCAAGTGAACTGTTTTCATGTCTTCTCAAAGCTCTTTTTAAAAAAAGAACTATTCAGTAATAGAAGTAAATAAATTCCAGATGATCATTGTAATCGAACAATATCGTCAAGTTCAGCTTGTTTTTCAAATTGCTGAAAAAGTTTTCTATGCGTGGAAACCCAGCAGATTGCATCAGGTCACCCATTGACCTGTAGCATTCACTCTTCCTGGATGACCGCATAGAGACAGTGGAAAGTAACATTAATTTGTTGTTGACTTTAAGGCAACCCCTCCTCTGTGGTGGGGGGATGTAGCCACAGTTAGGCGAATAACAGGAAGAAACCTCCAGGAGGACCAGGCTCAGTTTAAATTGCCCTACTGCCATGACAAACAGGGGTTTGAAAAGATTGAGCAGACACATAGAAAAAGAACACAGAAGCACTGATCTAGGAGTACTTTCTATGTTCCTTTGGTCATTTCATTTTGGAGGGAAAGTAACTAACATAAGGAATTCTAGAGCCAGTGTTTTAGTTAAGAAGACAACAGAGCACATTTATAGCAAAGCCTGGAGCCGGTGCAATTATTTCTGCAGCCCCCCTCCTAAAATTCAAGATCAAGTTTATTGCTGGGGATCTGCTCTACATCTGATATATTTAAAAATAAGTACTGTGGATGCATGAATGAATTCCACACCCATCCAGAGAGAAATAAGAAACATCCCGAAGTAGACATAGTTAGTGTAAATGAAGGGACAGTTGCAGTAAAAGCAATCATAACATTTATGAAAGTAGAATATGAAGCTTACAGCTAAGTCTACAGCAGCTTAACTATAGACATAGTCCAGGATAACCGGAGCCACCTTAATGACCAGCTTTATCAAAAAGTGTTAAGCCTAGGGTGTCTGCTTCATGGATTAAAATTAAAGTATGGTCCACAGGAAAGGAGGCTTGTAACTAAAAGATCTGCCTATTCTACTTTTAGGAATTCCTTGAACCACTAGTAAACCTGCAGATTTCAGAGAGATATACCTAATGGAGGTGGTTAATTAGGGGTTAACGTGAGGAAAATTTTAAAGCTTTTGAAGCCAATAAATGGAAGCTAAAAAAGGATACATTTCTCTACATTGATCAGAGCTCTGGCTGCAGCATCTTTAAATTAACTGAAGGCTTTCAGCTGCTTTCTGTGGACTGAATCCACTCTGCCGCATTAGGCGGTGCTGGTGAGAGGAAGAGGAGCTCTTGAGATGAGGCTGTGGGCCAACATCAGTCAAGAAGCTCCGGCGTCACTGACATGCTGTAAATATGATTTGTTGGTTAGGGCAGATATTTATTGCTGGCATTTGGCAGAAGCTGCTCTGTCCTTGAATGTTCACCGATTGAATCCGAGCAGAAATATCAACCCACAGCAGAAAACAGCCAAAAGGACAAACTCAATATCAGGGAAATTTGACATAAATCTCCTGTGAGTGGGCAGCCTTGCAGGAAGGATATCAGAGAACTGTGTTTGCATGCTAAACAGAGGAGCCCCTCCGTCTCTGTATCACTGCTAGTTATCAGGTTAGATAAGGCCTAAATGAGTCTACTGCACTTTAAATGTCAAAGTCAGTGTCTATAATTTATTCCCTGAAGGAAAAACAGTGTTTAAACCGATAACTACTGGGATCTTTGATTATCCGTGTCACAGGTTAGTGGAACACGGATGACAGTCGACCTTTCTTCTGCCTTCTTTCAGCCAAAATAAAATATGCTGCTTTATATATAAAGCCTTTCAGCAGCTGTCATTATTTCTTCTGACTCCTCTATTGTTGTGGCTTGGCAGTTCTTCAAGGAGGCGTCTTCTCTGTGCTACCGGCTGTGTCAAAGGGCTGCCAATTGTTTTTGCCTGCAGCAGGTCAGCCTACGCTCACTTTGCTTCATATGGGGGCGCAGCTGCTTTTAATCTTTAGGAGCGTGTGAGCTGAAGAAGAGCGAGTCCAGCTTATACTCCATCTGTCTTCCCAAAAAGGCACGAAGAGGTTAGGCTGGGACACACAGCAGTCCTTGTACTGGTTTAAATCACAAAACCTTTTTAAACCTTCTCCTTTGTTAAATGCAAATTCTTAAAAAGGACAAACAACAGATGAATACTCAGCAAAGCCACAAAAAGAAGGAATTAAAAGATTAATTCATGTATTAGCCAATTATCCGACTGAGGCGATCCTGGATCTTCCTCATCAAGTCTCGGGTGTTTATTCATAGAAACGTCTTGAATAGAAACTAAACTAGGCAATAAAATAACATTCCTTCAAACAAAGGCAGGAAAAAGTCAAAGAAATGTATCTTTTCTGACAGTTCAGTAAAAAAAAGGGGACAAAAAAAGGAGAAAAACTGCTTCAAACTGCTGAGTATGTTTTATCGATTTATACTCTTTAACTTGTAGAGAAAAACAAAACCTTTAAAACCTAAAAAAAAAAAAAAGGAAAAATGTCAGTAATGAATAACATATAGGAGCCGTGTTTACATAAAGCTCCTGTGTCATGTTTCATCAGTTTACACACAATTTAATAAAACATTCAAACTTATCTTAGAAGACGTACAGAGAAAACGACACAAGTTGGAGACAGAAAAACAGATCCAGCTTAAAACCTTTTCCCCTTTTAGCATGTGACGATGGAAAACATCAGCAGCAGGTAGGCTGGATGACACTTTGGTTTGGAAACTAACGAGAAACCCTGAAAATTGCTGCCATCAGTCCATCAGAGCTAAAAAAAAAAAAAAGAAAAGCAGTTTCTTCTAGCATTAAAAAAGGATAACTTTGGTAGTTTGTAGCCTTAAAACGCAAACCACTGACAAAAAATATACGAGGATTTTTTTTTTTTCTAACCACCTTTCTGAACCAACCTGAGATGATCAGATTAGCCGGCTTAAAAGTTTTATCATTTTTGTGATGGTAAAAACAAAGGGAAAAAGATCTGCAGGAGAACCAAGGTTTGCAATGATGCAGAGCTTCTATGAAAGCATTACAGACTTGTCTGGTCGTTAAATAGACCGCAAAGGAAATAGAAAAAGTTTTGAAAAGGCATCAGCTTTTTATACTGATAATATGCTGAATGGTAGTGCTCAATAATGACATTGGAATAGAGGAGCTCCACGGCTCCTGAGATCTGCTCTGCCTCCGTATTGATCTGAACGACGCTGGGAATGACAGATCAGAGCACGACAATCAATGATGGGGAGGATATATGGAATAGTTGATGTAATGTCATTCTTTAAAATTAGTTTTCTTCACTGTTTTATAGTAGAAATAGCCTCATGTTTAACTTAAAATATCCTGTATTTTTATAAAAAAAAAAGATATTTAGAGGCTTGAAAAAGACATCGGCCTGTTTAGTGTTGGTGCTAGCCTTCCTGTTGCAGAGAAATATGCAGCTTTGAGCTGGTGTGAGAGATTAGCAACACAGAAAAAAAAGAAAACAAGCCTAAAGAGATTCCGTCATAATGTCGTCTTCCAAACTAAATGGATCTAATTATAAAGATTTCCTTTGTGCCTTGTTGGTCCATTTAAAGGCCTACAGTAACGCTGCGTGGAACACTATATTCCATTGGACCAAGTTGGACAGCTGCGTTCCTCTTCCACTCAGGGAGGCATCGCTCGCCGGAGGAAGAAGAAAGTGACATGATAATGCGGTTGTGGAGGTCAGGCATGTTGAACAGCCAACTCCTGTCCGATAAAACGTCGCAGACGGTCCAGATACTGGCTGTACAGCTCAATGTCGTTGTGTCCCGCTCCCTCCACCCAGAGGGGCTCCACGGCCTTAGGGCAGCGCTCGTACAGGGCCAGGCCGTGAGAAAAATCGATCACCTCGTCCTCCGTCCCGTGGATGATGAGAACAGGAGAAGTGATTTTAGAGACTTTTTCGATACTGAAAAAGGAGGAGAGAGAAAGAGGGGGTCAGGTTGTGTTAATTGTAATGTGTGTTAGTAGATCTGTAGTTTTTCCTGAATAGGAACCGTTCATTTAAAAACTAAAAAAATCTTGCTCATATTGTTTAATGTTCCACTGTGTGCTACGAGGTCACACTACAGACAGTACTCTGCAGAGCAAAGGATGAAGTTAGCTAGCTCCAGTATTTAAAACAAGGTCAGAGGAACCACAGGGATATAAAAAGGATTTTCAAACGTAGGGCAGCATCTAACGATTATTTTGCAAATCGATTAATCTGTTGATTAATTTTAGATTAAACGATTTATAATCGGACAGCAAAAGGTTCCTTTTAGGGGATTGTTTTACGAAATTAAACCAAGTGAAACTAAAACTTTTCCACTTAAGGAGTTCTGAAAAGAGGATATTGACGGATGATTTTTTATTTTCTTTATCTTAAATGAAAATTATTTGCACATTTCTTTTACAATTTTGGTATAATCATTGCCCTTAGTGGGTCACTGTCAGCTAAAGGCATGTTTTAGAGTCTCTAGTCTTAGTTGACGAGTATTTGAATAATCAATTAATCACAATCCGATTACTTATTTCAGCCCTATACAAAAGGAAGCAATATTTTCATTAAATGTTGAGACATTTAGAGAAAAATCTCCAGTTTCTCCCTGGGAGCTTTTAGGCTTAGGTAAGGATCATCTTTCCAAAGGAAGTACAAATGGAGACACTATTGTTATTGTTCTGTTTGAGATGCTAGCTGTGCTAATCACTAGAAAAAAATGCTACAGACAGTTTGAAATGTAAAGTGAAAATGTGTCAATATGTTTCAGAGGAACAAGAAGGCCCTGTTCAATCTGACTGCTCTCACACAAACAGATGGTAAACACACTATAGAAAATCTTGATAACTTCAAAAGTTTTCATTTATCAAGAAACACGGATTTACGAGTAAACTGAAAACCACAATTCCTTAAGAAACAATATATCGATGTATGAACCCCATGATGAAGTACATGATGAAGTCGAAACCAAATATATTTGCGGTGGAGCAGAATCAAATGCAAATCGTGATACATCACTGGTTCTACTGGTTTTAATCTCTTCATCTTGTAAATAATGTTTGCCCAACAGTGTATTAGAGTCTGCCTTAAACAGCGAAGGCTGTGGAAGCTGTCCCAACCTACATGTTTCATTCCCTAGTTACATGCGAGTACTTGGCTGTTCCAAAATATATATTTTTAGAACAGCAGGCTTAGATGTTAAGTATTAAAACAAATCAAACGGGATTCTGGTGCACACTACAAGCAGTGCTGTTTGTTGTGTGAAAAATCTAATTTAGACAAAGCAGAACCTTTTTAGAACAAAGCCTTTGGACAAGGGATGTAAACAAATAACTGATATACTATTACATCAATGGTTTAGGTTATCGCCTAAATGGCGCCCATTTAGGCGTACTGCAAGGTGGAACCGCATCATTTCTCTGCTGTGCTCTGAAGGGAGGATGTAATGATACGAAGTGGAGGGCATCGAGTGACACATTTGTTACATGACAAATAAGACATTCTAGCAATCAGAATGGTAGACAGGAAAGGTTTTTTTTGATGATGCACTTCTTAGAGCCAAGCTTTAACCTCCTTTACAGCAACTAGACTTAGAACAACCTGTTTAAAAGTACAGCTAACGGCACAAAGTCTCTCCCAGCACTGATTGTTGGATTACACAGAAAACAGAGATGACAGCTATCATCCATTTTATTCAAACAAGGTGGAATATAGTGCACCAGCATGTCAGCGACATACCCTGTCTTTTAATGATAGTGTTACATCTCTATTCATTGGAAATTATAAGGTATTTTATTTATTCAATCACTGATAAGTTACCATTTGTTTTATCTTATAAATCTTTTTAATAATGTGTAATAAAACATTTGTTTATGTTGTCAGTATTCAATAAAGCTGGCACAGAGAGGTACAATATGTAAGCATGTACCTCTCTGTACACTGCTCACCTGTGGACTACATATAGAAAAATTAAACTGCAAAGGCTGCAGGTGGCTTATAATGATGCTATGCAGGTACTTTTGAAACGGCCAAGATGGTCCAGTGCAAGTGAGATGTTTGTCACAGCAAGAGTCAATACCCTACAAGCTGTTATACGAAAGTTAATGTATAACTTTATCTGTAGGTTGAATGCATCACTTACTGAATGTCACTTACTGATACCACACATAGTGCAATCCGACAGTCTGTGCTGCGGAGACACTGGTATTCCTGTCTTCTTAAAGTTCCTATTTAGTCGATAAGGGTACATGTTTGTGCTTTTTATCATTAACTATTCTTATCTTATTTTATGTATGTATTTATTGGACCATGAGTCCGGAATAGTTTTATCTATCTATCCATCTATCCATCCATCCATCCAGCCATCTAGTAATTTGTTAAAAGAAAATTATATACTTTTTTAAATTCAACATATTGTAAATAAAAGTTTAGTCCTTAATGTTATAGACATTGGCTGCTTATCAATTAATCATTGGTAAATCGATAAAAACAATCAGCTTTAGATTAAATAATCACCGACTCTGATTCCTAGTTTGGACTGATGAGACAGATCAAGTTTTTAGCTTAGATCAATATGCTTTGTATGGGCAAAGAAAAACACTGCATTTGATTAAAATTCCCTTACATTAAATATTATCAGTCCCCCTCTCAACAGGTGGGAAATACTGAGATCTGGGAATGTGAGGGATTAGAAAATGTTTAAAAGATCCTGAAATTGTCTACAAGGCACATTCTATACAATCCAGTTCTATGCCACTGTTCCGACACAATGGTTTCCTTTTCCTCCTTTTGTCCTTCAGCTTAACCGACACAAGTAACTAGCTGTACTTAGGGATTCATAGATGTGCAAGGAGGGCTTTCCGATGAGTATTTTCATGACACTGAATGCAGAGGGAAGCCACAGAGGAAGCCCTCTCCAACATCTACGAGCATCCTAATGGCTAATGCTGAATCTGTAAACATTTAGCTGTAGGTTCTGGGTTGTCTGTATAACTGGTTAACAGCTGGACAGACTTATCTGACTGCTAGCATTGTAACCCAAGGTCTGATTATACTCTGCAGCCAAGCCAAAACAATAACAAAATTATGTTGGCCATAAATCACCTCTAACATCACATTAGGTTTATCAAAAACGTATTGGCTAACGTCCATGCCAATTAGGGGTGGGTATTGCCAAAGAATTCACGATTCGATTCCAATCATGATTCACATGCCACGGTGCGATTCTATCACGGTGCATCGCAATACTTGAAATATTGCGATGCATCGCGATATTTTCACTGAACACAGTAAGAAATAAATACAGCTATTACCAGTGGCTGACTGGCTGTGTACACTATATTGCCAAAAGTATTTGCTCACCTGCCTTGACTCACATATGAGCTTAAGTGACATCCCGTTCCTAATCCATAGGGTTCAATATGACGTCGGTCCACCCTTTGCAGCTAGAACAGCTTCAACTCTTCTGGGAAGGCTGTCCACAAGGTTTAGGAGTGTGTTTATGGGAATTTTTGACCATTCTTCCAGAAGCGCATTTGTGAGGTCGCACACTGATGTTGGACGAGAAGGCCTGGCTCTCAGTCTCCGCTCTAATTCATCCCAAAGGTGTTCTATCGGGTTGAGGTCAGGACTCTGTGCAGGCCAGTCAAGTTCATCCACACCAGACTCTGTCATCCATGTCTTTATGGACCTTGCTTTGTGCACTGGTGCACAGTCATGTTGGAAGAGGAAGGGGCCAGCTCCAAACTGTTCCCACAAAGTTGGGAGCATGGAATTGTCCAAAATGTCTTGGTATGCTGAAGCATTCAGAGTTCCTTTCACTGGAACTAAGGGGCCAAGCCCAGCTCCTGAAAAACAACCTCACACCATAATCCCCCCTCCACCAAACTTTACACTTGGCACAATGCAGTCAGACAAGTACCGTTCTCCTGGCAACCGCCAAACCCAGACCCGTCCATCAGATTGCCAGATGGAGAAGCGCGATTCGTCACTCCAGAGAACGCGTCTCCACTGCTCTAGAGTCCAGTGGCGGCGTGCTTTACACCACCGCATCCGACGCTTTGCATTGCACTTGGTGATGTATGGCTTGGATGCAGCTGCTCGACCATGGAAACCCATTCCATGAAGCTCTCTGCGCACTGTTCTTGAGCTAATCTGAAGGCCACATGAAGTTTGGAGGTCTGTAGTGATTGACTCTGCAGAAAGTTGGCGACCTCTTTGCACTATGCGCGTCAGCATCCGCTGACCCCGCTCCGTCAGTTTACGTGGCCTACCACTTCGTGGCTGAGTTGCTGTCGTTCCCAAACACTTCCATTTTCTTATAATACAGCTGACAGTTGACTGTGGAATATTTAGGAGCGAGGAAATTTCACGACTGGATTTGTTGCACAGGTGGCATCCTATCACAGTTCCACGCTGGAATTCACTGAGCTCCTGAGAGCGACCCATTCTTTCACAAATGTTTGTAAAAACAGTCTGCATGCCTAGGTGCTTGAATTTATACACCTGTGGCCATGGAAGTGATTGGAACACCTGATTCCAATAATTTGGATGGGTGAGCAAATACTTTTGGCAATATAGTGTATGATCTGGATAGTGTCTTCAATTGATACATATCTGAAAGCAACTGAATTCATACATAGCTGTATTTATTGAAACAACTATCGAAGGTATTGCCATAAAAACAAATACTGGACACAAATATTACTATTACTGTAGTGGACACACTGATAAAAAGTGCTTAGGATTTCTAAAACTTAAAATACAGTGCCGTTTACATGGCCTCAGTGGTCCTTTAAACCAATGAAATGGAAACATTCAAATGTTTGACATTTCCCCTTTCGCAAATGACATGCGTCAAATTAATTTCGTTCCTTCTATGTTTTTAAAGCCAAAATGCATCCAAACATCTGACTTGGAATGTGATGGAGCTGTGCAAATTTTCTCAGTCTCCTCTATGTTTTGTTTATGAATAACTCGTCGCAGTATCCGCAGCGACATCTATTGGACTGAAAGTTGTATTCCACTTGTTTTTGGCTGATGTGTGCCAACCATTCATGTATTTTATTAATTCCTTTTTTTTTATTAAGGATCGATACTTGGCATCAAGAATCGATGAAGTAGATCACAAAAATTAGAATTGCGGTGCATCGTCATGACGATTATTTTGCACACCCCTAATGCCAATACACAAGACTTTTTTTTTTTCCAGTAGAGATCTGTAAATCAATGTAAAACAATTAAAAACAATCAAAGGCTGACACAGTTTCCTTATTAAAGCCAAAGCATGTCACCTTTTCTACATAAATGAGCCCCCGTTGATCCCTTCAAACAGAAGCATCAATTGATGTGCAGTTAGAAAAAGACATAAAACATTGAAAATAGCACGAGAAAAGATGCTAGCACTGTGCAGAAACTTACTTGGGGAAAGCATCAAAACAGTAGGTTTTCTTTGTTTCAGGGAAGGCCACTCTCATCCCAGACGTTAAAGGTGAGTGAAGAACCACAGCAGCACATTCATAACGGGAAGCCAAGTCCACGGTGGGAACTGTACCAATGCTCTGTCCGTACAGGATAATGTTCTCTGGGTTACGCAATATCTAAAATAAAAAAAAAAATAAAGAGAGGGGGCCTTATTAGTAAAGCCATACGATACAGAGCAGGAAAAAATCCACAATGACATAAATCAACAACACTTTCTGAGTCTGCCATAGCAACGAGTTTTAGACAAAAAAAACAAAACTGAATTTATTTCTTTTATTTATTTAATATCCAAAAATAGAAAAATATTTATATAAAGAATATAAAATAGACTTACATCATATGAACTAATTTAATGTTTACTGGCAGGCACCTGACTTCCTGCCATAATGTGAGTCAAAGGCATCAATGCTCTCCAGGCAGATCTTTTATTATTTCATCAGGTTTGCTTGATTGAACATTTATGTGCTGCCTGTAATTGACCTTTATGGACTTCTGAGTGAAACTGATGCAAATAAAAGTTATGTCACAACTTTTACTAACATAAATGTAACTTGTGTAACTTTCAGTATCTGCCCTGTGGTATGAAATCTTTTCACGGAAGCGCTGTATTAAAATACAAACCCTGCTGTCTACCTTATGACAACCTTTGTCATTCTAACCCTGTTCTTCTTAAGCTGAAATTGATACGAACATGTTTTACCTTGGGTTATGTGAAGAACTTAGGAAACATCATAAAATGTTCAAGTCTTTAACTGGAATTCTCTCATATCAAATTATCCTGAGACAGAAAGGGGGGTTTATTTACACTTACACAAGAGAAAATATCCCCCTTTTACTCATAAGACAAAACATAAAATGTGTGTTTTAACCAAGGAAAGACTGTTTGGCTGAAATAGTTTCAGCTAAAGAGAAGCTTCTTGTAACAACCTACCAGGCTCTAACTTCAACCCGAGGAAAGTTTGTATCTCTCCTCACTTTCAGCTGTGAAATGTTCGAGAAGCTCCAGGCAAGACTGTTAAAGTTACCCCACAGCATCTAAAGCAGATCTAGGTCTGTGCTTTGGCTGTCCAGGATTTACATTTTTTATTATTTTCAGGCAGTACAGGTCGTCTGGCAATGGCTTAAATTTACAAACTGACTCTCTTGCCTATTTTCCCTCTGATAAAGACAACTCAAAGTCTTTGTACACATTTTCTAAACAAAAAAATGTTATGATTTTTGTTAAAAAGCAGATGTCATCTCCTTGAACCCATGCTAATAAAGACAAATCCTAATCCTAAAATGTGTTTTATGCTTTATGCATCTGTCAGGTCTACATGGCCAAATGAAGCCATATTAGTAGTGTTGCACCGATACCAGTATCGGACGGAGCCCCTATACTGCCCTAAAATGGTGGTATCGGTATCGGCGAGTACCAACAAATAGTGCACCGATACCATTTTGAGAGCAATAAGTTTATTCAACTATTGTCACCCATTCCTGGTAGGCAATAAAAAGTTCTACTGGATTCACTTTGTATTAGATCTTTTCCTGCTTCACAAAGGTAGGCAGCAGCTTGACAAAGCCATGATGGCAATTATTTTACATTATTATGGTATTGGTATAGGGGCCAAAAAATGGCATTGGCACAACACTACATATTAGTACCCACGTCTCTCCGCATGGCCTTAGCTTCTGTACGAGAAAAAGATGGTGGACGAGCAACAGCTCCTACTGAGGATATGAACATCTATAGACATCTAATTATTTAGTCCAAAAATATCACCAGGATCAACAGATTATGGAAAAACTCTCTAAGCTCTTCATTGTCACTCTTTGATGACATGAAAAGGCTGTCATGTGAGAAACGGCATAAACCAAAACAAGTGGGCCGACTTTAGAATGACTTACCGTGTGCGCAGGGCATGCCAGGCAGCATCTATGTCTGCATAGAGGTTCTTCTCGGTGGGTTTCCCTGTGCTGACTCCATAACCTGAGTAGTCGTAGGAGAAGATGTTGCAGTTGATTCGTGTGCCGAGGCCGATGTAGAAGCTGCTCATCTGGCCGAGGTCGACCGCGTTGCCGTGGGAGAAGAGCACGGTGAATCTATGGGGAGGAGGTTTAAAGCAAATGTTTTTAGATGTGCTTAAGATTCCTGACATGTTAAAATTTATGATAAAAAAAAAAAAAAAAAGTAAAACCGCTGCAATGAAGACAAGTGTTTTAGTTTTTTTACACAAGTGTTCAGGTTTTTGTTTGCATTAATCTGTCAATATTAGCTTTTGTTATGATATGCTAAAGAAGAAGGTCACAACACAAGAACTGAAGAATTATATTTATTTTTTAAGTGAATCAGCAACTTTATTAGCAGGGTTGGTCCCTCAGTGAATTTCAATTGGGTACATATCTAATAAAGTAGTGTTTAATGTTTAAACCAGCACCATAAAGCCTCCACTGATCACAACATATGTTGTCAATGACAGAGACCTTTGATGACTTTGTCTCTGACTTACTGGAAACTAGGTGTAACACAGTTTCATTACTACAATAAAACCCAAACGACAGAAACTGGAACATCTAGCTTATATATAGACTCTGATTGAAAGGAGATAGTTTAGGGTTTTAAAGGTATTTAAAAGAGAGTAAAAGACAAAAGTACTAAAATGGGATGATCTTCAGCTTGAAAAGCCCTAATCTGAGAATGTTTCACTCTGAATTGTTGAGGAAAGAAGACTAAAATTTGTCAATTTTCTAAATCTGTGAGGCATAAAAAGTGTATTCAAAGAAAGGGGATGAGGTATTAGAAGTCATTTTTATTTACAAAAATTATTTTCAACTGAAAATGTCTGCTTATAATTGGGCGGCTACAAAGCAGAGCTAAAAACATTAAGGTTATTTCATTTTAATTAATTTCAGCTGACTTATAAATCACCATTTCAAAAAGCATATAGGCATATACCAAGTCATTTCCCACCATCACAGATCTATCTACATGTGGAAACAATACGATTCTGTTCTGTTTAGTTTTTTCCTTCTTGATTGCTAAAGAAGTGTTGTGTAAAAAACAAACTAAACAGAGCTTGTTAATCACCTAATATTTCCTAATCTGTGCATCTCTACATTTAGATCAGCAGTACAAACTCATGTCTGGAAAACTGAAAACATTTAAATGTGTCTCCTTTCTGCCACACGGGAATCAAATGGCTGAATTACATCCTCAGCATGCCATCCAGTTTTACCGTATCCTGCTACCTAAATGTTGGATACCAGCATGTTGAAGCAAAGACACACAAAGGCTACGTTCACACTGCAGCCTGAAGTGACCCAAATCCGATTTTTTTTTGGCCCATATGCGATCTGGATCTGATCTTTTCATTACTATCTGAACAACAGAGATCCGATTTTTTTCCAATGCGACCCAGACCACTAGGCTATGTGGTCCTGAATGCGATACAAATCTGATCTTTTCAAATGTGACCTTTGTCTGAACGGCCAGGTCGCATTCATCCAACCTGAGCGCCATTAATACCCGACTAAGGTCACTATTCTGTGTCTTGCTATGAAGAAGCGGCAAGAAAAACAACAACCATGGCAGACGATGATGCAGAGAGCAGTATTTACATTTAACCATCTTGAAAAGATTGTGTTTTTATGATCAGCGGATGTGCTCCAGCACTACCATCCGTGTTTACTTCCGTAAACACAGAGCACACTGGCTTGTGATGTCATTGTGTCCTCTACTGCGCATGCGGGACACTTGTGTTGTATGACTGAAGTTCACACAGGAGATCACATACAAGTCGCATATATTTGGAAATATGAATGGCAACGCAAAAAAATTGGATTTTCACAAAAAAATTGGAATTGAGCACCAAGGCCTGCAGTGTGAACATAGCCCCCAAAAAATGCATCAAACAAGTCCTTAAGGACTGAGTTTGAGATCCATGGTGGTTCTGGGGGAGTTTGACAAACTATAAAATTAATACGGAAAGTGAAAGAATATTAGATGGTACACATAATACCACCAAAAAAGAGCAGAGGAAGTTTTTAAACCACTCACCTGGCATTTGGGGCACAGCGAATGTACATGCAGCCAACTTTGTTGCCTCTACTGGAGCGTGTGAGGGAGACTTCGATGGTGTCAAGCTCTCGCTGAGTGTACTGAAACTCTGCTCTTTCTGTCAGGTGAAGCTTGCACCTCCCCTCCACAGGACCAGCTCCCCCGCTTCCAGAAACTGAAGCGCCAGTCCTTGACCGCAGGCTTGACGTCCCAGTTGCACCCGGTGTGGGAGGGCCTGCTTCAGGGTCTGGCAGAAAGGTGTATGTGGGCTCCGGAGGCAGGAAGGCCAGCTTGGCTGCGATGCGACTTGGGCATGGTGGGCAGCAGAACAGGCAGCAGAGCTCTCTGAGAGAGAGGCCATTCATCCTTCACTTTGTGGGGAAAGGACAACAGGGTCAGTGTACCAGTACATCAGCACCAATCTAACACAACAAGAGCTTTATTACAATGTCATGTGCGAAGGCCTTTGCCTGGAGGTGACAGTAGTGATGGTGAAGATTTATAAATCTTTGGAGAATACTAAAAATAGAGCTTTTATTTTTTGATATACATAAAAATATGACAAAAATTAGCTTTTTTCAATAACATAAATGTTACATAAAAATAAACTTATGTTCCTTTTACTATTAATTTAACCACGGTGAAATAAAACTCTCCAGGATAAAACATTTTTGAGGTAATGTCTAAATATGTTGACTTGGGTTTTGGAAAGTGTTGAAAACTATTAGAATGAGGTAGATTGCTGGAATATATAAGTTAGTGCTAAGGTACAGGTGTTTAGAAGTGAATAAGAAACAATTCACAGCACAAGCCAAAGGTTAGCTGCAAAGATAACACTCTGGTTTGGGCCCCGTTACCGAGGAAAGACCACTAAAGTATCTATTTCCAGTAGATACACGTCTGCTTTGAACTCTAGTTGTTAAACAGCAAGATTTTCTGCAGATAACAAGGTTAACGGGTAAACAGAGTACAGCAGAGATGTGGTGTTTTACCATGCTGGATTTTGACAGTGTTGGCTCCTTTTCAGAAATATTTGGTTAAGGATCTGCGTTGTCTAAAATATGAACTGCTAAAATTGGTTACATTTTCTTCAAATAATGACAATATTGTAATTGATTTTTAATATTATAAAACATACTATACCGACTGTTTATAAAGTTTTACATCAAATATGCCCCATAAAATAAATAACACCACAGGAAGAAAGCTAGAAAATAAATATTTCATCTTATTCTTAATTTCTACATGACCGAAATTGGCTAAAATGGTGGTTAGAAAAAAAAAAGACAACTTTGATGTATTTCCCAACTTTAATTGACCTCCTATATTTCTTCATCATCCTGTTTCTAAACAACTTCTCATCTGTTAAATGAATCTAGGGCTAGTTACTTCTTTTCTATAGTTATTTTAAACCTTGTTGTCTCTTCTGCTAGCTATCTATAGACAGTCTAGGCAATACTAGCTAAAACATGACAATACATTAATAATAATAAGGCACTATTTACATATTTTTTCATATTATATTAAACCAACGAATATAAACTCTAATGCCACGTCTCATTGTATCCTCTGCTTTTTAAATGTGCTAAATGTTAAGCTCCTATTGCAATTAAACTTGCACCTTACAAAGACTTAACTAACTTTTAATGAGGAATCATGAGAAACAAAACAAACACCAAATAATATGACAAGCAGCGAAGTTAACTAACCTGTTGAGCTGAAGATCTTGGAGTATGAAAAGATAAACGTGGCTTAGACCAACAAGTATAAATAAATAAAGGATGTCGTCTTCCTCTTCAGTTTCCAACACGGAATGTAGTTTTAAGTGTCCTGTCGGCAGCCTAGAAGCTGACAGGGAAGTGTTATTTACAAACTATCTGCAGTGTTTTCCTGGAAGAGATTGAAGTCCAGAGTCCAGCCATTTTGTTAAGTTGTAACTTGATTTCAGATACTATTTACTTTTTTTTTTAAATAACCAAACCTGTATGTAGGATAGTCGCGGTAGTAGGTCCGTATAGACTATGTAAACGCTTCTAACATAGACCCAAAACACGTAGACAGCTGCACCCCACTGAACAAGGAAAGAAGGGAGAGCTGTATCAGGTTAAACAGCAGCGAGTCCGATTATCATCTCAGAGACAGCCCGTTGTCTGCGCACCAGCTAACCGAGGCTTAAGCTAGCAGCTCGAGGATATAAACACTTTGTAAAATAGCAAAACTGCTCAAAGGAAGACGGTCAAACCGCGCTGTCTCAACTGACTCAACCTATCTAGATGAAAATAGCCTGGCCGATGTAGATATCTCTGCTAAGTGCACCGAAAGCGTCTGGCCGTTTTAATTAATCCTCGTAGGAGCGGTGGTTTCATCGTCTTTGCTATTCACCGCATCCGGAAGCGATAGCTGGCCGGAAATGACGTAAGAGGTTTATGGACAGCGAATGCCGGAAGTCAACATGATTGTTTTAAGAAAACTCTTCATTTACATATTTGCAGAAGATATAATAGGGCTCGGGATCCGCTTTGCATTCTGGGACGTGGTTGCCATGTTGACGGCTACGCTAACAATTTCATAGCGCCGACATAACGTATTTGCACGAGGAAAAGCAGAAGAGAAGAACGAGGAGGAGAGTGAGGCGGTTTGTCCGATCACAGACGTCATTGCTTGGAGCGGTTGAGCACGTGTGGCGAACGTTTGTGTTGGACGCGGAAAAATTCAAAGCAGAAACATCACTTGAGAGAAGGCGGATTTGGCATAAACTGGTATGTGAATGGTTCGGATGGAAATGGAGATAGGAAATGAGGAAGACGAGGATTTTGAAGGGTGGACGCCTGCGGGAAGAGGGAGAGGGAGAGGTCGTGGAAGAAATAAAACTGATGAAGGAAGGGGAAAAGGTGACAGTCAAGGTAATAAACGGGAATTGGAAGGAAGTAGCTCAGAAGAAGAAAGGGTGGTCAGGAGGAAAGTTGTGAGGGAGGAATTTAAAGTAATATTAAAACTTAAAAATGAGGAAGAAAAGGATAAAATCAGTCCCATTGTGGTATCAAGAGAAATAAAAAAGAAAATTGGAGATGTTGAAATGGTAAAGATTTTGAGAGACGGAAACCTATTGGTGATATGTAAAGATATAGAACAAAAGAATAAGGCTTTAAATGTGGAGAGTATCTGCAAAAGAACTGTTCTGGAGAAAAAAATCATGGGAGAAAATAAAAAAATTAGAGGAGTGATTTATGGGATCCCTCTTGATGAAGATCTTGATAAAATCAAGAGAAGTGTTGTGGGTGCAAAGGTGAACAACTTGAAAAGATTATCAAAAACAGTGAATGGAGAAAGAGTAGGAAGCTTGTCAATCCTTATTGAATTTGAAGATGAAGAGCTGCCAAAAAACATCAAAATAGGATACCTCAATTTTCAGGTCAGACCATATGTACCTCCACCACTTCGGTGTTTCAAATGCCAAAGATATGGACACATAGCAGCAGTCTGCAAAGGGAGGCAAAGATGCCCAAAATGTGGAGAAGATCACAAATTAGAAGAGTGTAAAGAAGAACAAGAAAAATGTTGTAACTGTGGAGGGAGCCATAGAGTCACGTTTGGAGGATGTGAAGTAAGGAAAAGGGCAAAAGAAATCGTACAGATTAAAACAACTAAAAACATAAGCTATGCAGAAGCAGTTAAGAATGTGAAGGAACAGGAAACAAGAGAGATTAAACAAACAGTGAGACAAACTACACAACAAAGCAAAGTACAGACAGAAGAAAAAGCCACAATTCCAGTGGAAAAACTAATATTATTCATAGCTTATGTTATCAACTGCACTGACCAAGTCAAACACAAAACTGAGAAGATTAAAATAATAGTGAGAGGAGCTGAAAAGTTTTTGGGATTTAAAGAGGGATCATGGGAGAACATAAATAAAAAGTTGGAGGAAGATGGGAGACCAGGACCTTCGGGTGAAAACGGTTCATGTTAATACTACAATGGAACGCTAGAAGTTTAATCGCTAATGGACAGGAACTTAAAGGTTATATTGATGAGCTGGAAGAAAAACCGGAAATTATTTGTGTTCAGGAAACATGGTTAAAAACATCATTAGATTTTGTGATTAAAGGATATGATAGTGTAAGAAGAGATCGAGCAGAGGGAAGTGGAGGAGGATGTGCAATATTTATCAAAAAAGGAATACAATATCAGATATTGGGGAAAGGGAAAGAACTAGAATATGTAGTAATTGAGATATGGGAAAAAGAAGGTAAATTAAAAATAATAAATTTTTATAATCCATGTAAAACATTATCGATTGAAATAATGGAGGAGTTAACTGAATATTTGGAAGGGAAGGTAATTTGGTGTGGAGATTTTAATGCAAATAGTACAGTGTGGGGTAAATGTAATGATAAAAACGGACAAGTTATAGAAGAAATAATGGAAATGAAAAATCTAGTATGTATTAATGATGGAAAGGGAACAAGAATCAATATAAGAACAGGGATGGAATCAGTTATTGATTTAACAATTGTCTCAAATGTTTTAGCTGGTATTTGTGATTGGTTTATTGATAAAAAATCTACAATAGGTAGCGATCATTACCCCATAATAGTAAGAGTAGGGCTAAATTTAAATAATAGGAATATTAAAATTGGGAAAAAGTATAATTTTAATAAGGCTGACTGGACTAAATTTAGATATTTGAGTCAAATAAACTTAGAAAAAGTAGACATGAGTATGGATATAAATGATTTAAATTTAATAATTGGTAAAATAATAATGGAAGCAGCAGATAATTCTATAAAGAAATCAGGGAGTAAGAACGATAAGAAAATGGTTCCATGGTGGACAAATGAGTGTAAAGAAGCAATAAAGTTAAGAAATAAAGCATTTAAGACACTCAAACATAATCCAATTTATAAAAATTTAATTGATTATAAAAGAAAACAAGCAATAGTAAGGAGAACTATAAAGAATGCAAAAAGAGAATATTGGAAAAAATTCTGTAATACGATAGGGAAAGAAACAAAAATAGAGAAAATTTGGAAAGTAATCAAAATAATGAATGGTATTAATCAAAATAATGAATGGTATTAAAAGAGAGTTTGAGTATCCTGTTCTAAAAATAGATGATACAAACGTAATAAGAGATGAAGATAAAGTTGAAATATTGGCAAGAACATTCAGTAAAATTCATAGTTCAAATAATATTAGTGAAAATGGAAGAAAAGGTAGAGAAAATACAAAAATTAAATATAAAGATTTTATACAGAGCGGTGAAGAAACAAATAATTTGTTAAATGTTGAGTTTACAAAAACGGAATTGAACAATGCACTTAAAAAGACAAAAAACACAGCACCAGGTAAAGACCAAATCTGGTATAGAATGATAGGGCAACTTAGTGAAAAATCTAAAGATATAATATTACACCTATATAATAAAATTTGGGAGGAGGGAAAATTACCGTTGAGCTGGAAGGAATCAATTATTATACCAATAGCCAAACCAGGGAAAGATCATTCAAACCCAGAAAACTACAGACCAATAGCCTTAACATCTAATTTATGTAAAATAATGGAAAAAATGATTAATAATAGACTAGTATATTATCTAAATAGTAAAGGATATATATCAAAATATCAAAGTGGTTTTCGAAAAGGGAGGAGCACTAACGATCCAACGCTCTGTTTAGAGCACGAAATTAGAAGAGCACAAGTAAATAAAGAAAGTGTAGTGGCTATATTCTTTGATATAGAAAAGGCATATGACATGATGTGGGTGGATGGATTATTAATTAAATTATACAAGATTGGTATTAAAGGGAGAATATTTAAATGGATTAAAGACTTTTTAACAGGTAGGAAAATACAAGTTAGAATAGGAGAAACTACCTCAGGAAAATATAAAGTAGAAAATGGAACTCCACAGGGGAGTATTATAAGTCCACTTTTGTTCTCAATTATGATAAACGATGTATTTAAAGATATTGAAAAAGACATGGGGTGTTCACTATTTGCAGATGATGGAGCTGTTTGGAAACGAGGGAAAAATGTTGATTTTATTGTTAAAAAATTACAAAAGGTTATTATTGAAATAGAGAAATGGGCGTTGCAATGGGGATTTAAATTCTCAGTTGATAAAACAAAAGTAATGTTATTTACTCAGAAAAAAATAAACAAGGAAATAAAATTAAAATTATATAAACAAGAGTTAGAGCAGGTAAAGTGTATAAAATTTTTAGGATTATGGTTTGATGAAAAATTAAAATGGCATATACATATACAAAAAGTTGTTGATAAATGTAAGAAAATCTTGAATATTTTGAGATGTTTGGCTGGCAGTGACTGGGGAGCAGATAGGAAATCACTAAAACAGATTTACACAAGTATGATAAGATCCAACATAGACTTTGGTTGTTTAGTTTACGGTTCAGCAGCTAAAACACATCTAACCAAATTAGACATTATCCAACATCAGGCACTAAGATTATGTACTGGAGCATTTAAAACCACACCAACAGCAGCATTAGAAATAGAAATGGGAGAAATGCCATTAGATTTAAGAAGAACAAAATTAGAAATCAATTACTGGTTAAATTTACAAGGAAATAAAGGGGATCGCCCAACTTTGGACATTTTAAATCCATGCTGGGAAAAAGAAAAGAAAGAAATGAGGAGTTTTGGATGGACAATTGAAAATAAAATAAAAAAATTTAAAATGAATAGTTTAGAAATGAGTCAAACAACACCAATATCAATTATACCTCCCTGGATTCTACCAGAAGCAACAGTAGATATGTCACTAATGGAAAAGAAACAAGATAAATCGTACACGGTAGATATCAATTTAGTACAGT